CGCCCCCGCCGGGCTCCCTCTGCCGACACGAGCGAGGAAGGGAGGCCCCGTCCCCGCCCGGAGCCACCAGGCTGCAGCACCGCTCCGAAACGCACAGGTATTTTTTAAAAATGAAGTGTTTATTAGTAATATTTTTTTTTAAAAAAAGGGAATCCCCGCAAAGTGCATGGCAGAACATGCCCACCCGTGAGGCAGGGGGGCGGGTGCGCCCCTGGGGTTCGGGTGCACAAGGAGGCAGAGGCGCAGGAAGGTGCTGGCTGGGGCGCACGGAGGGTCTGCGCCGACATCGGGGTGTCCCGCGTGGCCCCGGCCTCGCGGCGCTCCCAGCACCGTCCCCGCAGCGCCAGGCGCTGGAATGTGGCCGGAGCCGGGACGCGGCAGGAGCAGGGACACGCGTGGGCCGGGACGCTCGTGGGGCTCGCGCTGCTCCGGCACCCAGCTCGCTCCCGCGGCCCCTCGCGCTCAGCAGCAGCCCCTCTTGGGCTCGTCGCCGGGAGTGAGCTTGATGGAGTCCGTTAGATAACTCTCAAGAATCCCTTTATGCTGGAAAAAAAAAGGGACAAGCGCCGGGATGAGGGAGGCTGGAGCAGCAGCAGCCCCAGCCCGGGTCTCCCAAGCGCCAGCTCCCCAGGAGCAGCCCCGATCCCGAAGCCAAGACAGGGAGGAGGCACCGGGCGCAGCGGGGACACCGGTGGCCTCGGGCCGGGCGGCTGCCACTAGAGGCCAGTGGTGGCACGCGGCTCACCCTGCGCTCCCTGCATCCTGCCTTCCAGCTCCTTATTTAACTTCTTTCTGTCTAAAGCCCTTCGCACCGCGGGTCACTCGGCTCCGCACGCGGCCGCGTCCCGGCTCACCATGAGCAGCGCCTGCTTGGCCAGCGTCTCGAAGGCCTGCGCCACGTTGATGCCGTTCTTGGCGCTGACTTCGAAGTACGGGATGTCTTTGTCCTTGCACCAGGCCAAGGCGAGCTCCTCGGACACCTGCGGGAAAGGCGGGATGCTGCCGGTGTAAGCGGGTATCCACGATGCTCAATTCCCGTTCCCATTGGAGGGGACACCCTTGGCTTTCAGGCTTGGGTAGCAAGCGCCCGAGCCCCCAGGAGCAGCCCTGTCCCCATCCGGGCCAGCCCTTACCTGCCGGTCGCAGATGTCTATTTTGTTCCCCAGCACAACCATGGGGAAGTCGGGCTCCCTTGGGATGACCTTCTCCAGGAAATCATCCCTCCAGTTATCCAGGGACTCGAAGGACTCCCTGTCGGTCACGTCGAAAGCCAGCATGCAGCCATCAGAGCCCTTGTAGAAGGTGGACACCATGGACCGGAACCGCTCCTGTCCCCCCGTGTCCCAGATCTAGGGCAGAGAGGGGCACAGCTGCAGACCCACAGTGCCCGAGGATGCCACGGGAATTCCACTGCAGCTCCGGGGACAGGGGGAGGTGGGAGATCTCCCACGTCACTGCCGGAGCCCCGGCCCTCACCTGCAGCTTCAGCGGAGTGTTGTCCACGGCGATGACCTTGGTGAGGATGCTGGCGCCCAGCGTGGTGCGGTAGTCCTCGTAGAAGGTCTTGTGCACGTACTGGTGCAGCAGGGAGGTCTTGCCCACGCTGGCAGGGGGAGAGGGATGGGGGTGAGGATGAGGCACGGCAGGGACCGGCTCCGGTGGCCACGTGCTCCCCTGCCAGCAGGAGCCCTGGGCAACATTCCCAGCACCTTCCTGGCGGAGCTGGGGACGGTGCCATCAGGCTGCCCTGGTCCCGCTGCCCTATCGCCTTCAGCCTGGGCCCTTTGGGAGATCCCTTGAGATCCCTTTGTGCCGAGCTCGGCTCCTGGGTTGTACGGACAGATGGAAGGACAGGAACAGCAGGGAAAGGCCCCTATAGACCCGCGAGTGCCTGAGGGGCCGGTCGCTGCCCCGGTGGGCTCTTACCCCAGGGCTCCTATGATGATTATCTTCAGGTCCACCTTCTTGCTGGAGTCCATGGGAGGGCCCTGCAGGACAGAGCGGCGGTCACGGGGCCGTCCCCGGGACGCGGAGCCGGGGCTGCTCACGGCGCCTGCTCCGCGCCGGCTCCCTGCGCACGTCCGGGCACGCTGGCGCTGCCGGAGCTGCACAACTGGAAATACTTGGACTGGCAGCAGGAGCAGCTGAGCGGGGCTGGGAGCCCGGGAGCACCTTGCTCCGGTCTTTGCTCCTTTTTTCCCCCAAAAGGGGATGGGCAGCAACGCTTTCTGACTCGGCTCATAAATGCTGCACAAGGCAAAGTGAGTTTGCTCCAGCGAGACCGCCGAGGAGAGCCCTGCCCACCTGCAGCATGGTGCAAATGGGAGGAAACCCGCACCCGGCTCCCTCCCTCCTCAGCCTCTGCGGGAAAAGCTCCACTTGGAGCATCTGTTTGCAAGGTCCAGTTGTCACCAGAGCACCGGGCGCATGGAGCATCGCTCCCTCTCTGAGGAGCAGCCTCCCAGCTCCTGCACGGCCCAGGAAGATCCCTGTGGCTAGCAGTGCATCCCACAGACCCATTCCCAGAGAAGGCACCAGGCCCTGCACGCAGGGAAGCAGCTGGCTTGCTTGGAAAGCCCGGGCACAGCACAGCAGCACATGGAAGCTCTCCCAGGCAGCCTCATCCCTGCATTTTTTCCAGCTGTGACAACCCGCCTGCCAGGACGCTCCTCCCGTGAGCTCTTCCCACTCCCGAGCTGGGCACGGCCACCCGGAACAGCCGGGCTTTCCTGCTCCTCCCGGCTCAGGACAGCACCCACCGGCCTCAATCCCAGCATTTCCAAGAGGAGAAGCTCTCAGGCGTTGGGGTTTTCAGCTCGACATGGAGTTTTCCAGCCCGGCTGCCTCCCTGCTCCCCGGCGCACTCACCTGCCACGGTCCGGGGCGGCTGGCGGGGGCGCGCAGCGCACCCCACTG